CCAAAACTGTGAACAGCAGGCCTTTTGTCTTGGTTAGAATTCAGTTCACACAGGGGTTTTTTTCCCTATAAAATGCAATAGCCCATGGCCAAGATTAACTAACCAGTCCTTCCGGTACCCATGCAAGAATCATTCTGTTTTACAAATGGAGAAACTGAGGCACAGAGCAGTGCATGTAAGAGGCTGTTGTTGGGACAGGAAGCTAGGTGGATCTCCAGCATCCCATTCACTGACCTCTGCTGTCTCTTTTTAAAGCCTCTGGGTCCATGAAGATATATGTACCAGAACAGTTCATATTGCTTGGAAAGTAGAAGACTTCAATACCCAAAAATGCCTCAAGAGATGGGTATGGCAGTTAATGCGCTCCCCTGTGTCTCCAGGGCAGGGGGATTTTGTACAGGCTGATCAAGTGGAGGGAATCCTTGTGCAGGTCAGTTGGGAAGCAGGAAGATCTTTGATGAAGACCCTTTCCTAGTGATCAGAGACATGCAGGAGCACCTTCAGGGGATGGGCAGAGCCACCAGAAAGCGCTCCCTCTTCCCCCAGTTTCAGCCTCCATCTCCAAAAGGCTGTTTCAGAGTGGGAAGAGGTTCAGAGAAGGGGGAAGAGGTCTGGAAGGTCTTGCCCCGACATTAGCCTTCAGCCTGGAAAGGAGATGAGTAAGCAGGGATCTGTTAGCTACAAACCCCTACATGGCTCGGGGGTGGACTGGGATCAAGCAGTCACTGCTCCAGCCGAAGAGCTAGGGGACATAAACAGGCCCAGCAAGATGAAGGAAGAAGCTTTCTGCATGATGTGCCAGGGAACTCCCTGCTGCAGGACATTTTGGGTGCTGAACATTTCCACAGCTTCAGGAGAAGACTTTGCAAATTCATGGAGAGGAGGTCCATCGAGGTACACTGCATACAGAAACACCATGTCTGGAAAAGTGATAAATGGTGAATGGCTGCAGGTATAGAAAAATTAGAGTGATACGATACCATCTATGCTTGCCCTGCATCCTGGGCATCTGCTTTTGTCTATCAATAAAGACATGAGCTAAATGGACTTTGATGTGATTCAGTTCAGTTGTTTTCATGGTCATATGTACTTGCTTATATTCCCGTGTATGGAGCTCATGTTGGGGCCCTGGGATTTTTAAAGTACTTGAGCACTGTGGACTGTAGATCTTTCTTTCTTGTGCATCTCTCCCTTCTTCATTCTGTCTCCTTCTTTCTTCTCCCCTTCCTGTTTCACTCCCTCCATCTGACTCTGCCCCCCTTCTCTCTTCCCTGCAGCCCTAGTGGAGAGTGCAGGGATGCTGTAATTCCCAGGCACAGGTGCAAAGTCCCTGCTGTATGCCTGCCCCCTAGGCACAACCCCGTAACGCCTCATCTGACAGCCCAGTGGAAATAATGTGTTATGGCAGAGAGAGATTCAGCAGACCAAGAAGATCTGCTGGTGCGGGAACTGCTCAGAAACCAGGAGCCACAATGCCTGTCTCCCAGCTCGTGGTGCCTGATCCAGCTCTGAGGACTTCTCCACTCCCCCTGAGCCTTCCTACCCCCTCCCTTGGCTCATCCTGTGGGCACTTTCTCACTCTTTGCCCTTATTTTTCACTGTCTCTTTCCTCTGCTCCTCCCTTGCCATTTCTCCCTGCTACATTACAGAGGTGGAAGCAGCAACCAAGCAGAACAAGGACACTCAGCTCAGCCTCTGCTGAGCAAACCCCCATCCCCTTAGGAGATGGTTCCGTGCTGTCCCCCACACGGATGAGCAGAGGAGGGCAAGGGCTTTCACAGCAGCATTGAAGGAGGAGATTCAGGTGTGCAGAAATGGAACAACCAGTTCCAGTCTTCCAGCAAAGATTTAATCTGCCTGTGGCATATAAACAGTAAATGCTTGTTCAACTGACCTGCAAACACACTGCATGCATCCCAGCAGGGCTGATGCGCCCAGCTCCCCACTCAAATGGTTCTTCACTTCTTGCCCTCAAACAGGACACATCCACGTGGAGATGGGGAAAGGAAGCCAGGTAGAGCTGAGTCCAGGAGACCACCCCACAAGTCTGCTTCAGGGGCCTCAGCCGCAGAGGTTTGAGTTAAGAAGTGCTGCTGGAGAGGGAGGGGAGGACATAACATGGCTCAGTGCTTTGGCTTTTCAGAAGTGTGCCCTACTGCCCAACTGGAAAGTGCTTAGACAGCCACGGTAAAAGGGGCCATATGCAGAGGATGCCTGTTAATGTAATAGAGGGACTCACCATCTGGACTCCACAACCTTGAAACAGCCTTCTTGAGCTGAAACTTCACACTAGGCTACAGGCTGGATGCAGTCTGGTCTGGTGAGGGAATACAGTCCATTACAACTGCCATCGGTTCCCAGATCAACTGCCTAAACCTGGCTCTAGTCAGCTCTGGTCCTTGTTACCTGCAAGACCTGCCCTCCATGTGGTCCTCCTTTGCCCCCCTGGGCTCATACAAGGTCCCGCCCCAAATAACCAAACCCCATCCCTCCACTGATCTGGTCTCTCTCTTTAACAGGGTAACTGGCGCTTTGTGCCCATGGGAAACAATTGTTGTGGATGTGCCCGTGGGAAACAATTGTTGTGGATTACTAATCCCTTACATCCCCTTTCTTGGGACAAGCAAGGGAGAGAGACACTCAGGAGCAGCCTCAACGTGGAGCCTCAGTTGGGTTGTATCTAGCATCAGCCAAAGTCACAGCGTTCTGTATTGGGCAGAGAAACTGAGCTTTTTCCTCTTCTAATTCTGCAAAACTTGTCTCCTCTCCCTGGCGGGCACCTGCATTGTTAGCAAAGAGAAGAGGAGCAAATTGTTTGTCCTAATGGCTCCGGCTGCCCGTAAGCAGCTGGAGATGCTACTTTCCCTTGTTCCTCCCTTCCAGGACTGTCCCCTTCCCTCAGCGGAGCTGTCTTGACAGCATCGTGCCTGATTTACTGCCAGCCAGGCTTCATAGCCTGCTGGCTCCTAAAGGCTGTGGCCCCTTCTGGGAGAGCTCTGCCCTGGGATCTGCCAGATGTGCCTGTAGCAAGGACTGTGGGAAGGATTCAGCCCTGAGATATGAACCCCGTCCTTGCCAGAATGAGTCCTTGACTTCATTGCCTTCCCCAGAAGAAATGCAAGTTTTTGTTCTAATCAGGGGAAAAGCCCTGTGAGTCCATATATCTCCCAGGAGAAAGCTGATGTCTTGAGAGGTAGCAGCAGACTGTTTGGAGATGTGTGTTTTGGTGTCATGATGACCTGTAATTTCGACAATTTGCTTCTTGGCCATCTGTTGAGCTTGATTTCCTAATTATGGAGTCTCTGATGTCTCTGCAGATATGAGATACAAGAAGCCCATGCGCCAGCCCTCTCCCCTGCCTGTGTTCCCAGGGCAAACAGCAGTGCCTCACCAGGCCAGGTGGGCAGATGGGCTGCAGGACTGGTCAGCTGGCTCCACAAGTAGCATAACACAATCCAGCAGACCCTGGTTTGCAGGGTCCTGAAGCTGGGAGACATTGAAGTGTGGAAGCATAAAAGGGCCAGCCCTGCATTGGAGGGGGGAGGGGGCATGCAAGCAGGCTGTGAGAGGCTGACATTTCCCAGCCATTTCAATCTAGCTGAAGAAACCCAGGATCAGGGAGGTTAGTTTTAGCCTTGATTGCTTTTTCCAGGTCAGATTTTCCCAGTTCCCTGTCCTGGCACAAGGAAGGGGATACACAGCAGGGGACCTACTGAAGACGCCAAGGGCAGTGAGGACTGTCCTTTCAGCTGCAATGTCAATTTAAGGTCAGTCTGACTGCAGCCTCCCCCGGCAAGTCTGTCCATCAGATCTTCGTCTCTGAACCACAACCACACATTCGTATATGGACCCAGCAGGAGCACTGGGGCTGCCAGGATGCAGCATGGATCCTCCCCATGACTTTGCTCTCTGACCCTTGCAGCCAGTAATGCCACTAAGCCACGAGCTCATTAGATTTAGCCCCCTCCATCGCCACTGTCAGCAGAGAGATGTGACATCTCCAGCCATTCACATGGGCAATAAAACCAAAATCATGCCTCTCTCTGAGGTCTCTGTATTTAAGTCAGCTCTGCAGCAGCTTTTGCGAATGAGCTTGGGAACATGTCTCAGTCCAGGCAGCTCCATCTCCACAGGGACCGCAGCTCTGCGGTTCTGAAGACCAATAGGATGAGGAAGCTCCCCACTGCAGGGCAGGGAGCACTTTCTAATGTAGACTACCCAGCAACTGATCTGGTTGCTTGTATCGTCCAGTTTGGTTTTGCATTTCCTGGTGGGGTAGACCGCCTTTTCAGACCCTCAAAGGGAGACAGATGGGCCCATGGAGCCCCTTCCTTCAGCCTGAACTGGCAAGTTGGGTAGTGATGCTGCTGAACTTGGGGACACGGCAAAGCTGTGCAGGCCCATGCCCAGCACAACACATTGGGTTGCAGGTGGATTTCTCCTGTCCTCTACCATTGGCACTGAAATTGTTAGGCCATATAGCCTCCCTTGGCTTTGCTGAAACTGCCACAGGTTGATTTCATGGTACATGAGAAGTTTGGCTGAGTGTTTCAATGTCAGCTTGAGGTGGTTTAGCCTCAATGCCTTAAATAGCACTTGTTTTCCTTTTTCACTGGAGTTGTTTTGTTAGAAGACGGCTAATTATGGAGACAGTGTTTACAGGTACACCTACAGCTCAGAGAACGCATATTAACCTCTAGTGAGTAGGAAGGAGTTTGAGCAAAAAATTCATCCCTGGACTCCCTGGACAATTTTAATTATTGAGGGAGCTCCATATTGAGGTTCCAAGCAATGGTACTCCCTGGATGTACAAAGTACCCATGGAGCAGAGCCATCTCCCTTGAGAAAACAGCAGCCACAACTCACCATCTCATGTTGTTGTCCTTGTTCTAGGGTACACAGTGATTCCTGGTGATGTTGCCAGAACATTAACCTCTGGAGCCAAGTTCACAGCATTCCCCTTCAATCTTACTGGGAGCAATCTCCAGCCACCCACCACCATGTCCAAGGATGATGTGGGCTGCAAGCTGACCTCAGTATACAAGCACAAGGAGAGGAAGCCGAAAAAGCCCCACTACATCCCAAGGCCATGGGGAAAGCCATACAACTACAAATGTTTTCAGTGCCCCTTCACTTGCATGGAGAAGTCCCACCTCTACAACCACATGAAATACAGCCTGTGCAAGAATTCCCTCTCCCTCCTCATTGAGTCAGACTGGCCCTACAAGAAGGGGAATCTGCTCCACCCTGAGCTGCGCCTCCTGCACACAGCAGAGGCCTCATGCCTACGTGGGCGGCGGGATGAGCAGGGGACTTGTGACTCATCAGCTGTGTCAGAAGCATCAGGGAGCACCAAGCAGGCCTCCAGCAGGGAGAGCCATGAGAACAAGGCAACACGAGGAGTGGAGATCCTGCCTGCTGAAGGGGCTGGTGAAGAAAGCAGGCAATTCCAAGAGGAGGAGGAAGATGTTGCCGGCCTGTTGAGGGAGATGGAGGCGGGGGAGAAGGAGAAAATTGAAGAGGCAGTTTGCCAGGGTGACCCAGCTGAACCAGAAATGAACACTTTGGTCTTCGGTTTCAAGAACAAGAGGGACAAGCCTTGCAAAGAGGTGGAGCCTGACTTCATCATCACAGATGTCTTCTCCCTCAAGAACCACGTCATGAAGAGCAGGGAAATGACCTCACCAGACCTAGAAGCCAAGCCAAAGCATTGCAAAGTGCCAAAAAAAAGCCTGGCTAGCAGTGGGATCCTCATGGAGCAGTGGAAGCTGGTGGCAAATGGGCAAAGAAGGAATGCCCCCGAGGTCTCCCCACCTTGTACCGAGGGCAACATCATCCCTTGCTACCCCCCTCCAGCCTACAGTGACTACCATGAACCTCAGGGCCTCAACCTCTCACTGCTGGGTATTAACTATCCATTGAGCCCCAGTCTCTTCTCCTACCTGAGCCCCACCATGGCCAACAGTGCTACAACTCACCCCCACTTGGCTCAGCTGCCCTTCCTGGCCTCCACAGCCCAGCTGATGCACCCACATGCCTCCCACTTCCAGCCCCTCCAGAGTCCCGAGCGCTCAGCTTTCCTCCCTCGCTTCTACTACCCCTTGCTCTTTGAGCACACCTTTGGCTCCACGGAGAACAAGATGTCCACCAGCAAGCCAGAGGCCCAGCAAGCAGTATGCTCTGTCATGCCCACGCCTCCCCAAGCCAAAACCTCCAGTGAGCCAACAAAACCAGGGCTGCTGAAGGTACCTGTTCCGAAAACAAGTTTTCCTTGGTCAAAAGGTGTGCGAGAGGAGCCATCCTCTGAGCTCAGCCATAATGCCATGCTGGGGCAGGAAGGAGAGGAGAAATGGCTGTCCCAGGAGAAGGAGAGCGTCCCAACTTTGGGCCTCAACAACCTGCACAAAAAGCCAGCTACTGACATTTACCAAAATCTAGTGGGGATCAAAGATGGCACTTTTCCCCTCAACAGCATCCGGAAGGCTGAGTTACCAGTGGTGACCTGTCTGGAGACCACCAGCCCTCCGGTCAACTCCCTGAAGAGGAAGTTCCCTGCCAATGGACTGGATTTGATGGGATCTGAAACACTGATCCCTGGAAAACTCAGCTATCAGACCAGGTAAAGTCTCTGATCTATCTGCCTCTTCTCAAATATGGATGTTCCTAAACATCATTTTCTTACCTTGTCATATCCCTGATCCACTCACTTGCCTCTAAACCATGCTCCAGCTCCCCAAATAAAATAGAAATGGCAGGTGGGCTGCACTTACTGGTTTCTAGATGGTTCTGGGGTCCCTTTAGGAGCACTAAGAGAAGAGCCAAACTCTGGCCACTGCAGAACATGCAGAACATGGCACCACTGCAATGATAGCATGGGCATGGCTCACTCCCTCACAGAGCCTGGACAGATGAGGCTCAAAGGGACCAGCACAGTCCAGGCTTGTGGTCCTTACCCCCAAACACCCAGCACCAACCAGAATAGGGCTTTCTGCTGGCTGGGGACAAAAAACAAGAGTTCTCTTGGGCCTTGATTTTCCCTGAAGTAGTTGGGAGCTTCCCTGTTGCCCTAGCCAATAATGTTAATTGAAAAAACTAGGGTCAGGGAGCTCTTCCCGAGTCGAAATGAACTCTGAGGTACATCAGTTCTCATGGTCCCCTTGCCTCTGGGCAGACCCAAACTCTTGCAACTGCCTTTCAGGAACCGGGATCTGCATCATGTACCTGGGTATGTTAACTCTGGGCCAGAACCTGAGCCTCTCACAGCTTATTCGTCCCACGGTCAGGCAACATTGTGCTGACTTTAGTGACTCAGAGATCCCCTGCAACCAAAGGCCTCTGGCAAACCAGAGGTCCTGGTGTGCTAGGAGGAGCCCAGTGTCCAGTGTTGTCCCTTCCTTGCTGCAGCCATGTCCCGATACCTGCCTCATCCTCACATCACACTGTGAATAGCCTTCAGGTGTCCAAGTGCCTGGCCTGGCCTGGTGTATCACCACTTGCTATGCCTCAGTTTCCCTTCTTTATACAGATCAAAAAATGATGTAGTGTTTGTGTGGTGCGGTCCTGCTCTCCCCAAGCATTGGGGAATCTCCTCTTGGGTCCCCAAATATACCACAGTTCCTGGAAGAATCATTACCTATTTTTTAAATTATACGTGTGCATTCCTTTGATTTGCCTTCTGGTTTCAAAGCCCAGAGGGAAGGTCACATTTCCAAACATTTCCTTTTACGTGGGACTAGAAATGCATACAGCTCTTTTTAACGAAGTTTCAGTTCCTCCCCTGATCATGCAAGTCCAGCTGTAGCTCTAAGAAAAATGTCACTGTAAAAACCACAGCCTTTGGCACCTGGAGAAGCTTTCTTTGGAGAAGCTCTCCATGTTCTTCTATATTCACCTCCCCCTTCCCTGTTCTCAGGCTAGCTGGCCTCTCTGACTGGGCCTTCAGGCCTATGAGAGGGTCATTTCCATCAACACAGGTGTCTAACTGTCCCCAGCCCTGCAAAGTGAAAGAGTAACTAGATTTGGCAAGCTGAGGAGGGATCACTCACTAGCACTATTCTCCAAAGCCAGACCAGTATCTTTCTTTGTTGGGGAGAGTCACAAAACAGCCTGTTTGGGGTGGGGGGGGTCTTCTCTTCTCTTCCATCTACCTCCTGGTAGAACAAAGTCAGGAGCAGGTCCAGCTGGAGCTGTGGATGCTGAGACTAAAGTCTTCCTTGGGAAGACCTCACACAGGGAAGCAGGCAGCAGAGGAACCCTGGATGAATCTGGAAACGCTGGTCCTGGACATATGTCCAAGGATCTTCCTTTTGCTTTCCCTATTGATTATATCCATTTCTTCTGTGCAGTGGTTCAAGGGCCAACTCTGGCCACCTCCACCAGGCCCTGGATCACTGGCACATGGATGTCCTGGCAGGCCAGCCTGAGGAGGCAGAGAACACCAACAGCTCTGAAGTCCTGCCCGCTGCAGGTGCTGCCTCTGACCACAGTCTCTGTAAGAAGACCAGAGCACAAGAGACTTGTGCCACCACGATGGACCCTGAGGCCACCACAATGCTTATTGGGGACCTGTCCAAAACTTTGGAGGAGTACCAAGAGGTGGAGAAGAAACTGTCTGACTTGGCAAAGGAAGACACCCCTGGGCAAAAAGAGCTGAGGGAGCAGCTGGTCAAAATCCGAAGGGAACTCTACCATATCCACCAAGCACTGGAGAAATCCACCAAACCCCATGAGGGGCCCCTGGACCTCTCAGTAAAGAGATCCTCTGAAAGCCTGGAGAAGGGCCAGCAGGCCAAGAAAGAACCCTGCAATGTGAACCTAGGAAGTGAGAAGATCCACAGCAAAGACCAAGGGGTCCTCAACAAATATACAGTTCCTGGAGAAGTTGGAGATGGGGAAGGGCTGCCAAATTGCCTCCTTGAGACTGAAAACAAAACCATCGACCTGCTGATCAAGATGAGCCGGTCAGAGAGCCTCCGAGCATCTTCCTCTGAGGCCCACCTAGGAGCTGTGATCAAAGCTGAAGTCATGCCTCTCAACATGCCGCTGGAGCTTCGGCATGTGATGGAGCCTTACTACAGCCGTACCACCAAGTGTGAGGCAGACTCTAGTGTCCTGCTCTGCTCAGATGGCAGATCCAACACCACCCAGGGCCCTCAGCTCCCAGCCACTGAAGATGGGCCCCTAAGCTGCCGGGCCACGCAGCGCTCACTGTCCTGCAGCCTTTCCGGTGAGACAGACACAATGTGTCTCCACAGCTCTTTGCATGCAGACCCGTAAGTCCACCTTACTCAGAAGCTCCTGGATGTCACTAATCACCTCATGTGCAACCTTCCCAGTCTCTGCCCCCCTCTTCCCCACACATGAAAGCTTAATCACTGTCTGAATCTGAGGCCATGTAACACTGTGCTCCACCTAACTTCTTGTGACTGACTCCAGAAGGTGTAAGAAACCAGTTCCCCTCTTGTGTTTTTCTCCACCGCCAAGAACAGCACTCCTAGGTTGTGCATGCTCAGCAGGCTCAGCTCACTGAGCCTGGAGTTCCTTTCAAAAGGGAAGTCACTGGCAAGCAAGTAAAGAAAACTGTTAAAAGTACAAAGCTTTCAGCA